GGGAGAGGTTGTTATTCTGGCACCACACGGCCAGGTCTCTGACCTCCTCCCTATAGGCTGTCTCATCATTGTCGGTGATCAGACCTACCACTGTTGTGTCGTCGGCAAACTTAATGATGGTGTTGGAGTCGTGCCTGGCCATGCAGTCATGGGTGAACAGGGAGTACAGGAGGGGACTGAGCACGCACCCCCTGAGGGGCCCCCGTGTTGAGTATCAGCGTGGCAGATGTGTTGTTACCTACCCTTACCACCTGGGGGCGGCCCGTCAGGAAGTCCAGGATCCAGTTGCAGAGGGAGGTGTTTAGCCCCAGGGTCCTTAGCTTAGTGATGAGCTTTGAGGCCACTATGGTGTTGAAAGCTGAGCTGTAGTCAATGAATAGCATTCTCACGTAGGTGTTCCTTTTGTCCAGGTGGGAAAGGGCAGTGTGGATCAGTTTGGGCGGTATACAAATTGGAGTGGGTCTATGGTTTCTGGGATAATGGTGTTTATGTGAGCCATGACCAGCCTTTCAAAGCACTTCATAGCTACATACATGAGAGCTACGGGTCTGTAGTCATTTAGGGAGGTTACCTTAGTGTTCTTGGGCACAGGGACAATGGTGGTCTGCTTGAAACATGTTGGTATTACAGACTCAGTCAGGGACAGGTTGAAAATGTCAGTGAAGACACTTGCCAGTTGGTCAGCGCATGTTCGGAGTACACATCCTGGTAATCTGTCTGGCCCTGCGGCCTTGTAAATGTTGACCTGTTTAAAGGTCTTACTCAAATCGGCTACGGAGAGCGTGATCACACAGTCGTCCGGAACAGCTGCTGCTCTCATGCATGCTTCAGTGTTGCTTGTCTCGAAGCGATCATATAAATAATTTAGCTCGTCTGGTAGGCTCGTGTCACTGGGCAGCTCGCGGCTGTGCTTCACTTTGTAGTCTATAATAGTTTGTAGGCCCTGCCACATCCGACGAGCGTTGGAGCCGGTGTAGTACGGTTCAATCTTAGTCCAGAATTATATGGATCAACAATCCATAGGTAAGGCTGTACAGTGGAATATTAATGTCAAAACGCACAATAGGCTGACTGGGGAGGTGATTTCCAACGTTATTTAGCATCATCTAGTCCAAATAGGGCATGATTTCACTATTTGTATCCGTTTGCATTACTTTCAATTAGGGACTTTTATTTTGAAGAGGAACAGCCGATTCCACTATTGTTACACCAACACACCATGACAGTTTTTCAGAGACAACCATTATCCTTTACCTCCACTTGCCAGTAGTGTTGTCCTTTGACAAAACCCTTATTACCTAATACATAGAGACGCTCCCCATCCAACCTGACAAACCTTTAGAGCAGGGGTGTCAAACTCATTTTAGCTCAGGGGCCACATGGAGGAAAATCTATTCCCAAGTGGGCCGGACCGGAAAAATCATGGTATATATAACTTAAAAACAACAACTTCAGATAGTTTTCTTTGTTTTAATACGATCAACATACAACATAAAGCTGGAGCCTGAGGACAGTGTGTCCAAAATAGTACAAGCACAACATCACTATTAATCATAAAACACGTCAAGTTTATTTGAAAATTCTAAAGAAAAAGAACACAAATACACAATGCCTCAGTGATTAACAGAACTGTTTCACAGATCACAGAACTATATCAGGGTGTCATTTCTCAGGCAGAAATGTAGATAAAAATAATGAAATCCTGTTCCCCAAACAAGTGCAAGAACCACAGAGTCAATAATAGGTTAAATATACAAATAAAATAAAATCAATTAAAAACAATAGCACATCAACATAAAAACATATAAACATAAATCTGAAAGCGTTGCTCAAACTCCCGTAACAGTCCCGTTATTTTATCTTTGAACCGCTTCATGTCTGCCACATGTTGGGTCGCGCACACATTTTTCAGACAGGGGAAGTGAGCTGCATCACCACCGGCAAGTTGCGTCTCCCACAATGACAGCTTCAACTTGAAAGAACGTATGCTGTCATAATACTGCGTGACAACTTTGTTGCGCCCTTGCAGCTGTTTGTTCAAGTTATTCAGGTGCTCTGTAACATCCACCATAAATGCAAGGTCCGGCATCCATTCTGCGGAATGAAATTCTAACACTGGTTTGCCCTTTTCTTCCATGAACTGTTCAATTTCTTCTCGTAAATCAAAGAAACGCCTCAGCACAGCACCTCGGCTTAACCATCTTACCTCAGTGTGGTATGGCAGGCCATAGATGTGGTCTTTTTCTCTGAGAAGGCTGTCAAACTGACGGTGATTCAGGCTTCTGGATCGGATGAAATGAACAGTTTGGATGACCACCTTCATGACGTTATCCATCTTTAATGACTTGCAACACAAAGCCTCCTGGTGCAAAATACAGTGAAAAGTCAAAAAATCACGTCCTCCATTTGCAGATTGCACTTTCTCTCTGAACTTTGTCACAACGCCTGCTTTTTTCCCGATCATTGAGGGCGCACCATCAGTAGCCAGGCTGACAGCGCGGGGCCAGTCCACTCCGACCCTGTCCAGCTCGCCGACGAGTGCGGTAAAAATATCAACTGCTGTCGTTGTATCTGTCATCGGCACCAACTCCACGAACTCCTCGGTGACGGTCAATGTGTCATCAACTCCGCGGATGAAAATGGCCAGTTGTGCAACATCTGTAATGTCCGTGCTTTCATCAATTGCAACCGAAAACGCAATAAATGACTTTACTTTTTGCTTCAAACTGGCTGTCCAAATCCACTGAAAGATCGGAAATCCTGTCTGCAACTGTGTTTCTTGTCAGGCTGATATTTGCAAAAGCCTGCCGCTTTTCAGGGCACACAATCTCCACTGCCTTCATCATGCATGTTTTTACAAATTCACCCTCACTAAATGGTTTTGAAGCCACTGCGATTTCATTAGCAATGAGGTAGCTAGCTTTCACTGCAGCGTCACTGATGTCTCGGCTGTGAGTAAACACAGACTGCTGTTTCTTCAGACCCGCCAACAGTTCATTCACCTTCTCTCATCTCCGCTGTCCTTGAAAGTTGTCATATTTGTCGGCATGAAGACTCACATAGTGGCGACGAAGGTTATATTCTTTCAGCACTGCAACATGCTCTGAACACACCAAACATACAGCTTTCCCATTCAATTCCGTGAATAAATAGGATGACTATTTTTCTTGGAACACTCTGCACTCTGCGTCCACTTTTCTCTTTTTTGACAGAGACATATTGGGGCAATGAGGGTGCCAAAGCACATAATGTTAAAAGTAGAAGCCGTAATAAATATTGCGGGCAAAACAAAGTAGCTCATTGGCTGCACGTGCTTGACCTACTTGCTCTGCCCCGGTATAAACAGTTTGCTTGCTTAACACAATTGCTATTGTGCCATCAAGTGGACGCAATTGGAACAGCAGTTTATTTTATTGAAAAATTGCAGCGCATTTTTATACTTTACAAAATTAGTATTCATTTTTATTTTTTTATTTTTTTTTTTAAATCATCTCGCGGGCCGGACGTTTGACACCCCTGATGTAGATCATCTACTGCCTGAACCGAAACGTCAATCACACAATAAACCAAATGTTTGTTCTATTATGCCACATCAAGGTCCCTCTTCCACATGTTTGCCAAATACAAATTCAGAAATTGTCCATCATGACCTAACAAATAAATGAAATCCATTTCATGCTCAACAGTTTCCTGTGTGTATCAAGAATTGTCCACCACCCAAAGGACATACAGTCTGTGGGAAGCATTGGAGTCAACATGGGCATAAGCATTATGACAATTGTTTTAATTTTATTGGTAAAATATGATACTTTGATACTGTATGTACAGTTGAAGTCGTTTAGTACACTTAGGTTGGAGTCATTAAAACTCGTGATGACATTTCCCTGCATTAAAGTCCCCGGCCACTAGGAGCGCTGCCTCTGAATGAGCATTTTCTTGTTTGCTTATGGCCTTATACAGCTCGTTGAGTGCGGTCTTAGTGCCAGCATCGGTTTGTGGTGGTAAATAGATGGCTACGAAAAATATAGATAAACTCTCTTGGTAAATAGTGTGGTCTACAGCTTATCATGAGAAACTCTACCTCAGGCGAGCAAAACCTTGAGACTCCCTTAATATTAGATTTCGCGCACCAGCTGTTATGGACAAATAGACACAGACCGCCAACCCTTGTCTTACCAGAGGCAGCTGTTCTGTCTTGCCGATGTACGGAAAACCCAGCCTGCTGTATGTTATCCATGTCATCGTTCAGCCACGACTCGGTGAAACATAAGATATTACAGTTTTTAATGTCCCGTTGGTAGGATAGTCTTGAACGGAGCTCATCCAGTTTATTCTCCAATGATTGCACGTTGGCCAATAGGACGGCTGGTTAGAGGCGGGTTACCCACTCGCCGACCAATTCTCACAAGGCACCCGGATCTGCGTCCCCTGTATCGGCGTCTTCTCTTCATGCGAATGACAGGGATTTGGGCCTGGTCCGGTGTCTGCAGTAAATCCTTCGCGTCCGACTTGTTAAATAAAACATCTTCGTCCAGTTCGATGTGAGTAATCAATGTTCTGATATCCAGACGCTCTTTTCAGTCATAAGAGACGGTGGCAGAAACATTATGTACAAAATAAGTTACAAACAATGCAGAAAAAACACACACAATAGCACAGTTGGTTAGGAGCCAGTAAAACGCCAGCCATCTCCTCCAGCGCCATTGAATAAATAAGTTGTGATAATGTCATTGTGATATCCTTTATCTTTTATGCAGGGTTGTGTCTGAGGGTGCTGATACTGGTTGCTCTCACAGTACCCATCAGAGCAGCTCAACCTGGTGAGAATGTTTACACTGTTAATTACATTAGTAACTGAAAGGAAACGGTTCCCTGGACACGGTATTAAAAAGTAATTTCAATGGAGATCCAGGTCAGGACTACGCTTAATCTGTGTCCAGGAAACTGGCCCTGGGAGTCGAGCACAAATAAGTCACCCTCTCTTTCTCTCGCCCTCTTTCTCCCCTGTCTCGCTTTCTCCAGCCCCGGAGACGTTCACCTTAACTGTCCCTGATGGTCCAACCTCGACCCTGTCTGGCTCCTCGGTCTCTCTACTCTGTGAAGTCTCACCTCTCTTCAATGCAGAGCCATTGGAGGTGGGCTGGTACCGTTCCAGTAACCTCCACAGTCCTGCCTTGTTGTACAAAGATCACAAGATCCAGGAGGCCCCTGTGGACCCCCAGTATAGGGGCAGGGTGTCTCTAACTGGGGGGCTGGAGAGAGTGAATGTGTCCCTGAGACTGGAGAGGGTCACACAGGAAGACAGGGGGGAGTATATATGCCAAGTCACCAGTGACCAGTGGTATGAAAAGGCCAGTGTCTTCCTCACAGTGAATGGTAAGGGTTATCTCTCAAATTGATGGTGAAACTGTGTATTGTGGTGTCACCCCCAAAGCACCTGATCCTAGATCAGCACTCCTACTCTGAGACACGTTATGGAGTCTTTGGTACCACAGAGTAAAAACAAAAAGGCAGTTACATTTGCCACCTCTCAGTTTACAATTGCATTAGGGGTACAGCCAACTACAAACTTCAGCTGACTTTAGCCTTATATAGCCCCGCACCAAAAAAATAAAACATCTCTGGAAGGGATAGAGGCATCCGTTTAATGTAAACAAAATGGGCAAACCACCTTTAAGTAACTTCAAACGAAATAATTGAAAGTTGATTTGAGTTGTTTGGCCATGACATTTAGAAAATGTCATGGATGCCCCTATCACTCCTATTGAATGTTAGCTAGCGGTGGCTATAGTTAGCTGAAGTTTGTCGTGGTCGTTTAAAAGAAAACCAAACCATGGAATACAGTTCTATATCGTGGAGCTCCGCCCCATAGGGGAGCTCTGCTCCTATTGGTTTACCCTGCTGCCTAGGCAACGAACAGCCTGAGACAAAATGATGCACACACCTGCAGCCAATAGGAGTACAGGTGTCCCTATAAGAGGGGATGCTTCCCCTCAATCAGCCTCCCTTTATCTTCAGCGACTGGACTAGACTGAAGAAGCCGATAAGAAGACAAGACTCAGGACGAGAAAGCCGTCGCCGATTTCCAAGTCTCGACGTCGTCCTCTAAATGAGCACACCAGGAGTTTTTCCACGCCCAAAAGCTCTTTTCAGAGCTCAATGTCGCTGCTCCTCCATGACAACTTATGTTTTGTGTGCTTAGGATCACAGCATGCTTGGAGTGGCCTCATAGATCCCCCACTATGCGCCAGCTGCGCCCTCCTTTCTTTAAAGGAGAGGAAGCAGCGATGGTCATTTTTTCGGGAGGATATCCCTCTAGAGGACGTGTTATCGGTGCTAGCCTCAGCTTCTGAGGCATCATCTGAGGGCGCTGACTCAGGAGATGACAGGAATATTGGGGAGGAAATGGGTATTCTATTGGAACTATCCATTACTCTGACCCAGACGTTTAACACCCCTTTTTCCCTCAGGAAAGTGTGAGGTCATTTACATCCCTGGGTGATGACGACACGGGCTCTGAATTTTCAGCAGGCCCGTCCTACGCCACAGCCTCTCTGCGCTCTGATTTTCCAGGGCTCATTGAGATGGCTGCTAAGCGGCTGGAGATTAAGCTGCCCCCCATTCCCTCCAACCCGGAAGTGGACATGATGGAGGGCGGCCCTTACTCTCGCTACTGCTCCGCGTCGTACCCGGCGTCAGACAGCGGCCTCCAGCAGCAAGGGAGCGGGCCCCGCCCCTCCTGCAGCGCAAGAGGTGCCGACCATTCCGCCGGCGAGAGAGGTCATTAAAGCGTCATCCTGGCATCACCCGAAGGGCGGCCAGAAGAGACGCCGTTTATGACATGGCGAGGGGGAGAGAACGGAAGACGGCGCAGCGCCTTGTGTGACTGTGCCCACTGTTCCCCCCCCCACCCTACTGGAGGAAACTGCGTGTTGTGTGTCTAATAAAGAGTTGGCTCCAATTGACTTTGTCACAAGACAGCCCCTTTTCCATGATACACCCGAAACCGTTCAGGTGCCTTTACTCTCTCTCTCTCTCTCTCCTCCTCACCACTCTGAGTGTAGCACAGCCCACTACGGGTGCGTATTTGAGCATACACATGAGGCACGTGTGAATAAGGGAACAAGGCAGACATCTTTGATGAGCCGCCTTGTTATACCTCATAAAAACCTTACACACATAGACTCCTAGGAGTGTTGTGGTACAGGATTCACATAGTAGCCTGCGTACACAGCCAGTTACTGGAATGATGACGCAATCGCTATTGGGAGACGGCGCTCTGACTCAGGCGAGCGCCTCAGTCAGTGCAGTTCAGACCCGTGCTGCATTCACGGAGGGCTGGGACAACGAGGTTACGAGTATAACCAACGTGTCAGCGCCCCGGTTTCTCTCAGATCCCGCTCATGTTTCCTCTCCCTTTCATGAGAGGCCCGCCTTGGGCTGTTCCACCACTTCACTGTCGGGGAACAGCGGCGGCGACGGCCGTAGAGGAATACAGGTCCTTCCTACTGAATGCACCACAGCTTCGCGCTCTTCCGCTTTCTCAGCATTATTGGGAGTGGCAGCGAAGCTGTACCCTCTCCCACTGGCAAGACCGGACGCTGGAGAAGGGTTATGCCATCCAATTTCACCCGATCCCTCCCCATTCAGGGGGGTGGTGGAGATGGTGATGAAAACGCCGGGAAAGGTTGCCGCTCTCGTTACAGAGATTACGGAACTTTTGGCGAAGGAGGCAGTCACAGTAGTTCCTCGGGAGCAAAGGAACAGGGGGCTATATTCGCCCTAAAGGAACGGGGGGAATGAGGCCAATATTGGATCTACGCGTTCTCAACGAGAGCGTAGCCAAACGGCCCTTTCGAATGCGGACGACAAAACGTCTGCTGGAATGTGTCCAGAGGAGAGACTTTTGTACGAGCATAGACCTGAAGGACGCATATTTTCATGTGCCGGTACCTCCGCGTCACAGGAAGTTTCTGCGTTTTCGCTTTTCAAGGGGCGGCGTACTAATACATGAGGATGCCATTCGGGTACGCCCTGGCACCTCACACGTTTTCCAAATGTGTGGAGGCGGCAATAGCACGGTTACGTCGTCAGGGGATAAGGGTTTTAGCCTACCTAGACGACTTACTGGTTCTCGCCCCTTCAGCAGAGCTGGCGATCACACACACGACACAGACAGTGATTCATCTCACGTGTCTGGGGTTCGCTGTGAATTGGGAAAAAGAGCGCGCCCTGGCCCAGTCATCAGATTGTCTATCTGGGGATACAGCTAGACACTGTAACGATGAGGGCTCGAATTTCGGATCCTCGACGGGCTGCCCTGTTGCTAGCCCTACCAAGGTTTTATCTGAATCACACGGTAAAGGCGCTTTCGGTCATGTCACTCTTGGGTCTCATGTCGTCAGCCCATTCCGTGGTTCCACTGAGACTTATGCCAGTAAATGGAATGTTTTTTCACAGTGTTGTGTCACAGAAAATGTGGACTACGTGTGCTGTCAGGTCGAGAGCATACGCTCATTCCTACAGTTCCTATGTGATAAGCAGCGCTCACCCGCCACCATGTAGGTGCTTGTGGCGCCGATTTAGGCTTGTCATGAGGGTTTGGCAGAGACACTGTTTTCAGCCACCCTCTTGTGAAACGTTTTCTATTGGGAACGCGGCGGCTTAGGCCAATGCCTAGAGCCACGCTTCCTCAGTGGGATTTGATTTTGGTACTCGAAGCGCTCTGCGAGCCACCGTTCGAGCCATTGAATCAAATCCCCCTTAAGATGTTATCTTTGAAGATGACACTGTTGCTCGCTTTGACCACTGCTTAACGTGTCAGTGATTTGTACGCTCTTTCGACGAGACCCGACTGCCTTGCCATTTATGACGATTGAGCAGGACGGTGTTAAGTCTTAACCCGGCATTTATGCCTGAGGTTAGTAAGAGCTCATATAGATTACAGATCGTAGAGCTGTGGGCCTTCTCTCCCTTTCACCATGTTGAGAGGAGAGAGGAACGGCTCCATCGCCTGTGCCCAGTGCGCGCCTTGGCGCGCTACGTGGAGCGCAACGCGGCGATTAGGTCATCGCCTCAGCTGTTTTGTGTGTCACGGTGCGGCTGCACTCGGTAGACCACTTTCTAAACAGCGTCTGTCTCATTGGCTTTGTAAGGCATTGAGACGGCTTATGAGGCTGCAGGGCGGCCATTGCCTCTGGGTAGAAGAGCCCAATCCACTCGTGGAGTAGCGGCTTCTATTACCTTTTTCAGAGGAACAGGTGTAGAGGATAATTGCGCAGCCGTGTCTTGATTGTCACCGTCTCCTTTTATCTATTTCTACCTGTTAGATATGTCTTCTAACTCTCTGGTTCAGTCTGTACTCAGTGTAGCCGATGGAAGGACTTGAACTAAGAGAAAAAAGATGCAGGACCAGGGGGCAGGGTTCCCATTAGGTCTGCTTTTTTTCTATGAGAGAGCCATGACTCCTGATTGAGGTTATCAGTACAGTAGAGGTAATGTATTGTGACCTGCTCACCAGTGCATAACTGGGTTGGGGCGGAATGATGAGGGAAATAGTGTTTGTAACTTTGTTTACATTACTATTAGACCGGTCATATATATTGACGGAATTGTGACGTCATCTATCTGCATGTTCAGATTAGTATGACTCATGTTCTGGAGTCTACCCACTAATCTTTGGGTTTCCATAGATTGAGTGTGGCGGATTACCGAATACACCGTGTAGAGTGACACTCTGTGTCATTCCATTAGTGATCGGTTTTGTTTTGACAGGATATTGAGACGCCATCTATCTGCTAGTTCAGATTAGTATGGCTCATGTTCTGGATTCTACCCACCAATCTTTGGGGATCCATAGATTGAGTGTGGCGGATTACCGAATACACCGTGTAGAGTGACACTTTGTGTCATTCCATTAGTGGTCGGTTTTGTTTTAACAGGATATTGAGGTACCATCTATCTGCTGGTTCAGATTAGTATGGCTCATATTCTGGTTATCTGCCCACTAGACATTGGCCATTGGACTAGGTGGGGCGGATTTGTACAGAGGACACAGTATTTTGTGACACAGTGTGTCACAGTACTGTGGGACTTGGTCGCAGCCATTGCTAGGCCCGACCTTTTCAAGTGGGAAGTGTTGGGCTCGGCAGGGAGTACATTTTGGAGCGTTGCGCTCCGCCTTAAACCAATAGGAGCAGAGCTCCCCAATGGGGCGGAGCTCCACGATATAGAACGATAGTTACCGGAGTTGTAATTCAAGTTCTATGAGTGGAGCGGAGCCCCATAGGACTTAAGGCCCTTCCGACCCTCCAGTCTGAAGATAATTTCTCTGGAGGCTTATTGAGGGGAAGCGTCCCCTCTTATAGGGACACCTGTACTCCTATTGGCTGCAGGTGTGTGCATAATTTTGTCTCAGGCTGTTCGCTGCCTAGGCAGCGGGGTAAACCAATAGGAGCAGAGCTCCCCTATGGGGCTCCGCTCCACTCATAGAACTGGAGTTACAACTCCGGTAGCTATAGTTTCTTCTGGCCCATAGACTACTTTCAGAGTCAGGAACCATCTAACACTAAATTGTAAAATACATATCTTGTATTCTTCCAATTTATTCTGTCATTCTATCTGTGTCTTAATAGTTGTTGCTTGTCCCCCCTTATCTGTCCATCAGTGACAGGTAGTGAACCAGTTCTCTCTGTAGCTGAAGGACGAAGAGGAGGAAGTCAGGTGAACGTTACCTGTTCATCAGAGGGATGGTCACCACAACCTACACTCACCTGGAGAAACAAAGCGGGGACAGAGATCAGAAATGGACAAGAAGTACTCAACACTCCAGGTTATTGCAGACACTAGTCTGGATCATTACTGCAACTATCTACGGCTGTTTGTGTCTGTCTGTCTGTGAATAAGTGTGTATATCCCCCCCATGCTCTCTGTTTCAGATCCTCAGGGCTTGGTGAGTGTGAGTAGTTGGCTGCTGTATTCTCCCTCAGACTCCGATTGGCTCTCCTGTACAGTCTCTCTGTCTGAGGAGGTGAAGAAGGAGAGTAGAATCCTGCCCAGAGCTCCAACGGAGTGTGAGAATCTCAGAAATCTTAATCAGTATCTCATCATTTAATATCTTAGTCAACTTAACACAATAAGTTAAATAAACCCACAAACCAGTCAACAAAAAAAACTTGGACCTGTTGTGAAATGGACCTTGGGCTTTCCTACACGGACACCTACCTGAATAAATTAATTCTTAAAAGATAGAGACTTGGTCTGAACGGACCCAAGGACAACCAGACCCGGTCTGATCCAATCTGAGGGAAGCAGCAAAAGAACTTAACTGGAGCTGTTAAAGCGCGATGGAGAGAGAAACGGAGCCACTCTAGCAGGGGGAGGGGCTGTGTGCGTGTGCGTGTGCGTGTGCGTGTGCGTGTGCGTGTGCGTGTGCGTGTGTGTGTGTGTGTGTGTGTGTGTGTGTGTGTGTGTGTGTGTGTGTGTGTGTGTGTGTGTGTGTGTGTGTGTGTGTGTGTGTGTGTGTGTGTGTGTGTGTGTGTGTGTGTGTGTGAGTAATGCGGGTCCAGGCAGGGAGAGAGAGAGAAAAACAGCAACCAAGCCGACTCGCACTAGTTAGACTAACTTCTAGCTGCCATAGATCTTGGTCATTGTAGTCTATCCTTCTCATTTACCTTTTAATTCCGTCATTTTAATTCCATATTCCATTAATTAGATATGATCAACAGGTAACTGACACAATAAAGAACACTTCAGTAAATGAGGGATACAAAGTATATTGAAAGCAGATGCTTCCACATGTGTGATTCCTGAGTTAATTAATCCTTAAGAGTTGATTGACGCAACATAATACAAAAATACCAATCAAAATCCGTCTTTTTAAGATAGAGATCGTTTTTTTGTATTGGCTGCGTCTCAATCCACTACATACGCAAATGCAATGGAAAGTGGTAAACTAATAGTCTATGGAAAGATGAGACTCTCACAAACACGATGTTGTTCTCCGTCTTGCTCTACGACTCCCACAAGCTCCACGGGACTCGTCTGAAGTCGGTATCATTGAAGTGCCAACTTCTGTGTGTCGCGTTCGAACCGTTTGGGCTACAAACTAATATGACCACTATATGGAAAGATGAGGCTCTCACAAACACAATGGTCTTCTCAGTTTGTACGACCCCCACAAGTGTCACGGGACTCATCTGAAGGTAACCCGGTAGTGGTTTAAAAAATGAATGAAAGTATGGAAGTAATAACATTTTCTCTTTGGGCCTGTGTTTGCAATGTATCCAATTTTAGTTTGTGTGGTTGTTGGTTTAGCTTTCTGTAACTTTGTAGCCAGTACGGTCTGCATGTGTATGCGCTTGTTGCGTCATGATTGCAAGGTGTCCCAATATCTTTTCCAACTGTCCCGTTATCTGGTTTTAATGTCCATTCTAGAATGCCCTTCTAGCCAATAAGAAACGGGTATTCAACAATGTTGCTTTCTTATATATCCTAGATATAGTACAGACATGTCAAAACCTTATTCCTTATGATAAATGTTTTTGACTGTCTGTTTTGCCATTTATGAATGTGTTATTCAATGCAGTTCTATGGAAGCAGGTAGCCTAGCGGTTAAGAGCGTTGAGCCAGTAACCGAAAGGTCGCTGGTTCAAATCCCGAGCCGACAAGGTGAAAAATCTGTTGATGTGCCCTTGAGCAAGGCACTTAAACCTAATTGCTCCCGTAAGTCGCTCTGGATAAGAGCGTCTGCTAAATGACTAAAATGCAAATGGACTATAGTAGTAAATGCCAAATCCAATATTTTATCAAATCGTCTTTTTTTTCATACCTAAAGGGTCTTAAAATTCAAATTCAAATAGCAAAATGATCCATGGTATGACCATCTCCATGGTATGACCATGTTAGACCCAAATTTATCACATAAAATGTATATGTCATATCTCACAATTGATTGGACTTCCCCAATTTAGTATTACTAGGTGGTACCCCAGTGGTCTCTGTTGCTGAAGCAAGAGGAGGAGGAAGTCAGGTGAACGTTACCTGTTCATCAGAGGGATGGTCACCACAACCTACACTCACCTGGAGAAACAAAGCGGGGACAGAGATCAGAAATGGACAAGAAGTACTCAACACTCCAGGTTATTGCAGACACTAGTCTGGATCATTACTGCAACTATGTACGGCTGTTTGTGTCTCTCTGTCTGTGAATAAGTGTGTATATCCCCCCCTTGCTCTCTGTTTCAGATCCTCAGGGCTTGGTGAGTGTGAGTAGTTGGCTGCTGTATTCTCCCTCAGACTCCGATTGGCTCTCCTGTACAGTCTCTCTGTCTGAGGAGGTGAAGAAGGAGAGTAGAATCCTGCCCAGAGCTTCAACGAAGAGTGAGAATCTCAGAAATCTTAATCAGTATCTCATCATTTAATATCTTAGTCAACTTAACACAATAAGTTAATTATACCCACAAACCAGTCAACAACAAAAAACTTGGTCCTGTTGTGAAATGGACCTTGGGCTGAGGGAAGCAGCAAAAAAAGTATTTACAAGAACCTATGTCATTAACTGGAGCTGTTAAAGCGCGATGGAGAGAGAAACGGAGCCGCTCTAGCAGGGGGAGGGGCTGTGTGTGTGTGTGTGTGTGTGTGTGTGTGTGTGTGTGTGTGTGTGTGTGTGTGTGTGTGTGTGTGTGTGTGAGTAATGCGGGTCCAGGCAGGGAGAGAAAGAGAGAAACAGCAACCAAGCCGACTCGCACTAGTTAGACTAACTTCTAGCTGCCATAGATCCTGGTCAATGTAGTCTATCCTTCTCATTTACCTTTTAATTCCGTCATTTTAATTCCATATTCCATTAATTAGATATGATCAACAGGTAACTGACACAATAAAGAACACTTCAGTAAATGAGGGATACAAAGTATATTGAAAGCAGGTGCTTCCACATGTGTGATCCTGAGTTAATTCATCCTTAAGAGTTGATTGACGCAACATAATAAAAAAAGACCAATCAAAATCTGTCTGTTTAAGATAGAGATCGTTTTTTTGTATTGGCTGCGTCTCAATCCACTACATACGCAAATGCAATGGAAAGTGGCAAACTAATACTCTATGGAAAGATAAGACTCTCACAAACATGATGTTGTTCTCCGTCTTGCTCTACGACTCCCACAAGCTCCACGGGACTCGTCTGAAGGTAACCCGGTAGTGGTTTAAAAAATGAATGAAAGTATGGAAGTAATAACATTTTCTCTTTGGACCTGTGTTTGCAATGTATCCAATTTTAGTTTGTGTGGTTGTTGGTTTAGCTTTCTGTAACTTTGTAGCCAGTATGGTCTGCATGTGTATGCGCTTGTTGCATCATGATTGCATGGTGTCCCAATATCTTTTCCAACTGTCCCGTTATCTGGTTTTAATGTCCATTCTAGAATGCCCTTCTAGCCAATAAGAAACGGGTATTCAACAATGTTGCTTTCTTATATATCCTAGATATAGTACAGACATGTCAAAACCTTATTCCTTATGATAAATGTTTTTGACTGTCTGTTTTGCCATTTATGAATGTGTTATTCAATGCAGTTCTATGGAAGCAGGTAGCCTAGCGTTTAAGAGCGTTGAGCCAGTAACCGAAAGGTCGCTGGTTCAAATCCCGAGCCGACAAGGGGAAAAATCTGTTGATGTGCCCTTAAACCTAATTGCTCCCATAAGTCGCTCTGGATAAGAGCGTCTGCTAAATGACTAAAATGCAAATGGACTATAGTAGTAAATGCCAAATCCAATATTTTATCAAATCGTCTTTTTTTTTCATACCTAAAGGGTCTTAAAATTCAAATTCAAATAGCAAAATGATCCATGGTATGACCATCTTCATGGTATGACCATGTTAGATCTCAGAAAAGATCAAATTGTGAACCCGCGACCCAAATTTATCACATAAAATGTATATGTCATATCTCACAATTGATTGGACTTCCCCAATTTAGTATTTTCACTGTGACAGAATGTTTATTTTTTTCGTAGATTTCCGTTTTTCCACAGTTCTATCTAGCGCTGCAGTGAGTGGGGGGCTGCATAACCCTGTGGCATAGCTTTCACTCTAGCTCTCCCTGAGTGAGAGAGGTCTGCACTTTGACAGACAGTCCAACAACGAGTTCGAGGGGTTTAGGAACTTAGACACATTTTCGAAATGTGTCATTATTCCCCTTTAAGACACTTTGTCGGTGTTTCCTTTATTTTGGCAATTACCTGTATCTCCTAACTTGCTTGCCACACGGGGAGGCTCTTTTACTATAGTGATGCTTTTGATGACTTGTGATTGGCCGGCAACAACAGCAAGCTTCACGCACCACTTTCGTGAAAAGCAAGACATTTTCACTCTCTCTCTACGTCACCAGTCGCGTTCGGGTCTGTACAGGTCCTTACGGGCAAATCGGTTATAATTACAAATACCAGAGACCCATGACAACTAGGTCCAACCCGACCTTTCGGGTACAGGTGGACTGGTGAAGACTTCTAACATGTTGTCTCGAGTTACTGTATCTACCAAAAGACAAGATCATAAACTTGGGAAATAAGACTCACTTCAGATTTTAAATACAGATTTCTTTAAATGTAAAATGTTTAATGGTTTGATAAATCCTTGTATAGGACATTGGAGTCTTGGAGCCTTCATCACAACTCTGATTATTTTACTGCTAGTCTTTACTGTCATTGGGCTCTTCATCTGGAACAAAAAAACAGGTATGTCAACAAGCTAACACATATTCAATTAAATGTGAACAGTCTATGCAGACGGTATTAAGTGTTGTCTAATCATTTAGGGGCAAATCTTAACTTCCACTTAAGTAAAATGTTCACTTAGTCATGCATAGATGTCAATTGGAGACTTTGTGAAAATTCAACTTAAGTGAAAGTTAGGATTTGACGCTTTATAATATTAGGTTTGATGATAACATTGAAAATATCCCTGATATAATACAATACATTTTAACAAAGTAATATTGCATGACCTACCTATATTAATATTAGTTTCATTTTATTTCAGATAAAACAGAGTCTACTGAGAGGCCAGGTATTACTTCTATATGTTTTACTATTGTGTGTATTTCTACACATTTGATAACATGATTTTAACATATTTGGTTTCTTTTTTTTGTAACGTCTTCTTTTAATAGAAGAAACAGCTCTTTTCGCAGGTACATTTTGTTTATTATTTAATTATATTTTTATTTAACATTGCTAAGGTAACTTGACTGAGCATTTATTGTGTTTTGTAGTGAAGATTATGTTTGTTGATTATTTGATGTAAAAATTGTGTATACTGTATATCTACAGTACATTAGCTAAATAATATGTGTCACTTAATTAGAAATTAATTAAAATACGTTTAGAATTAAACTCAGTAAGGTGGTGTTCAAATTAAATAGATTTTCTATTTTCAAATGGTATTTCTTACTATGACACTCTGTTTCTAATACATCTCCAGGTGAAGTAGGTAAAAGTCAAGTGCCAAATGAAGGTACTGTTCCATTAAAGAGTCTTTAATTGAAACAATAACAAAGTGTTCACCCCACCTCTGTTTTCGTTAAAAGCTAAGGCTTGGGCCTGTATAAATGTAACCACTCTCAAATTCATACACAGAGCTACGGATGCAAGGACTGACCATCCATGATATCAAAATTGTAGTTTTAACCTTGCCTGGAAACCCGACGTTGAGTTGCACTGAATTGTACTAAGGGCAGAAATGAGCGTTTGAATCAGGAACGTTTCCTCTCATGACCTCTACAAGCCAGAATGTAGAATAAAAATATATTTTAACGTACTTTACCACATTACGGTTGTCCATGCGGTTGGCCCTTTTGGCAGTAGAAATGTGAGACAACACATCCACAGGAAGTATAATTACTTTCCAGCTGAAATAATAAATACAAATATTATATAAATGTTCTAAAGCAAAAAATATACACAAGTAATACATTATCTGATGAAATTGCTTTAGAAAAGGAGCACAAGATAGGGATGTCCTCTCTCCCCCCTCCTGTTTGCACTGGCAATTGAACCACTTGCAGAAACAATTAGACATGAGTCAGACCCAAAGATAACAGGTATCAGTATTGGTAAACATGAATATAAACTAAACTTATTTGCAGATGATCTCCTGATATACCTGACCAATATAGAAAACTCAATGCCCCCCTTGCTAAAAATATTTACAGAATACTCTAAAATCTTAGGATATAAAATGAATGTGAAAAAAAAGAAACAGAATAATGGCAAAGGGAAAAAAAAATTACTCATGATCTACAGCAATCCCTTAAGTGGACCACAAAAAATATAAAACACTTACTTAATAAGTGACAACAAACAACAATGATATAAAAATAACTTTATTTATTACTCAAAAATATGAGAGCAGATCTAATTAAATGGAATAATCTTCCCATAAATCTTACAGGTAGAATTAACCTCTTCAGAATGGCATGGCTCCCAAAGTTTGGATATTTATTCTTGGTAATATCAATTACCCCACTGAAGACATTCTTTAAAAAGTATACTCGGTCATAACAGACTTTGTATGGGCAAATAAAGCTCATAGAATAAAAAAGAAAGATTAACATCTTCCTTAGTCTGAGGGAGGTTTTAACCTTCTAGACTTGGAATTGTATCAACTCGCCACCCAAGGATTTTACTTTACATATAATTAAATGCACTAGAGGAACAATGGGTACATATTGAAGATAAGCATGCTCATCCCCAGAATCTTTTCCATGTCTATTTTCAAAGGATAAAGCTAAGAACATTAACAACTTCATAGTTAAGAACACTATAACAACATGTAAGAAAATGACACATATTCTACAAGAACCAATATCACTCCCGAAAAACACAACCATATGGATAGCTTTTAAGAATTCACCGATAAATTGGTATACATGGAAAACTAAAGGCATAGAAATCGTAAATAACTTAGGAAATAAATGTATTTCCATGACAGAATTAGAAAGCCATTTTTGACTGACCAATGTAGATATTTTCAAATACATGCAACTTAAAAGTTTCATATCAGAACATTTTGATTTGAAATCTTTTGGACATCAGAGCAATCTTGAGGGAATCCTATTTGAGTCAGTAAAGGATATTCACAATATACACTACCGGTCAAAAGTTTTAGAACACCTACTCATTCAAGGGTTTTTCTTTATTTTTACTGTTTTCTACATTGTAGAATAATAGTGAAGACATCAAAACTATGAAATAACACATATGGAATCATGTAGTAACCAAAAAAGTGTTAAACAAATCTAAATATATTTTATATTTGAGATTCTTCAAATAGCCACCCTTTGCCTTGACAGCTTTGCACACTCTTGGCATTCTCTCAACCAGCTTCATGAGGTAGTCACCTGGAATGCATTTCAATTAACAGGTGTGCCGTCTTAAAAGTTAATTTGTGGAATTTCTTTCCTTCTTAATGCGTTTGAGACAATCAGTTGTGTTGTGACAAAGTAGGGGGTATACAGAAGATAGCCCTATTTGGTAAAAGACCAAGTCCATATTATGGCAAGAACAGCTCAAATAAGCAAAGAGAAATGACAGTCCATTACTTTAAGACATGAAGTTCAGTCAATACGGAACATTTCAAGAACTTTGAAAGTTTCTTCAAGTGCAGTCGCAAAAACCACCAAGTGCTATGATGAAACTGGCTCCCATGAGGACCACCACTGGAATGCTGCAGAGGATAAGTTCATTAGAGATACCAGCCTCAGAAATTGCAGGCCAAATAAATGCTTCACAGAGTTCAAGTAACATGCACATCTCAACATCAACTGTTCAGAGGAGTCTGTGTGAATCAGGCCTTCATGGTCGAATTGCTGCAAAGAAACCACTACTAAAGGACACCAATAAGAAGAAGAGACTTGCTTGGGCCAAGAAACACGAGCAATGGACATTAGACCGGTGGAAATTTGTCCTTTGGTCTGGAGTCCAAATTGGAGATTTTTGGTTCCAACCGCCGTGTCTCTGTGAGACGCGGTGTGGGTGAACGGATGATCTCTGCATGTGTATTTCCCACCGTAAATCATGGAGGAGGAGGTGTTATGGTGTGGTGACACTGTCTGTGATTTATTTGGAATTCAAGGCACACTTAACCAGCATGGCTACCACAGCATTCTGCAGCGATACGCCATCCCATCTGGTTTGGGCTTAGTGGGACTATCATATGTTTTTCAACAGGACAATGACCCAACACACCTCCAGGCTGTGTAAGGGCTATTTGACCAAGAAGGAGAGTGATGAAGTGCTGCATCAGATGACCTGGCCTCCACAATCCCCCGACCTCAACCCAATTGAGATGGTTTGGGATGAGTCGATCCGCAGAGTGAAGGAAAAGCAGCCAACAAGTGCTTAGCATATGCGGGAACTCCTTCAAGACTGTTGTAAAAGCATTCCAGGTGAAGCTGGTTAAGAGAATGCCAAGAGTGTGCAAAGCTGTCATCAAGGCAAAGGGTGGCTATTTGAAGAATCTCTAAAATGTGTTTAACACTTTTTTGGTTACTACATGATTCCATATGTGTTATTTCATAGTTTTGATGTCTTCACTATTATTCTACAATGTAGAAAATTGTAAAAAATAAAGAAAAACCCTTGAATGAGTAGGTGTTCTAAAACTTTTGACCGGTACTGTAGGTAAGATATACAATACCTTGCAGAAAGCCTTTCCAACTGACAATCTCTTAGAAAAAAAATATAGACTATTGGAACCAAGATTGAAAAATAACTGATATTGGCACACGATGGAGAGAATGTTGGAACACAACTAACAAAATTACAGTTAAAACTGTACGCTTAATCCAGTATAAACTATATTGTTTATTATAGAAGAGACAAAATTCACAAATTTACAGCACATTGGCAGAGTCATGTAAAACTAACAATGACTCAATAATCCATGCCTTCTGGGAATGCTATAAAGTCCAAAAGGTATGGGCGTAGTTAGAAAGTTGGCTGTCTGAAGTATTACAATGTAAATGTACTTTTAATCCGTCTGTCTGCATATTTCAAGACATGGCATATGAGTGCAGTGAGATACCCGAAGGTTGGACGATACTTTTGTCATCAATTATCTTGAAAAAAACGGATACTTAAAAACTGGAAATTAACCAATCCTCCATCATTAACACAATGGAAAGGTCAGATGTTTTATTAACTAAATGTTGAAAGTGCGTGGGCGACGGAGAGTAACAAAATGGTGCAGTTTGAGGCCATGTGTTGGAAAGTGATGTGGGCTCTGGAGATGGGGGTTTGACCAGGTGGGTCTGAGCAGGTGTTATGTCATTGATGTTTTATGTGCATTTGTATGCTGACGTTTGTATGTGTATGTTTTGTATTGTTTAAAAAAAAAATAGGAAAGTATAATTACATCAACTTTTCAAAGCGCTGGTAGTGCTTTCAGATTTCTATCACCTGAAGCATGCGCAGAACCATGTAAACACGTGCACGAGCTCGGCAAGTATGCATGCGTCTCGTGCATGTATTTTTATCTTGTGCGTATGCTTCAGGTGAAAGAAATCTGAAAGCACTACCAGCGCTTTGAAAAGTTGATGTAATTATAGTTTCCTGTGGATATATTGTCTCAAATTCCTACCGCCAAAAGGACCAACCGCACGGACCACCGGTAAAGTACGTTTAAATATACATTTATTCAACATTCTGGCTTGTAGAGGTCATGAGAGGAAACTTTCCTGATTCAAACGCTCATTTCTGCCCGAAGCAGAATTCAATGGAATTCAACGTCTGGTTTCCAGGGAAGTTTTAACCGTGTTTTGAGGCTATACAGTGTTTGTTTACATTTACATTGTTTAAAAACATTGGAGTAAATCTTATATTTTGGGCTCTGATGTGGTAAGACAGTTGAACTAAGTTCATGAGGCATTTATAAGTTATAGTCCCACGGGGGGCCAGTATAAAAAAAATATATATATGTATTCACTAACTGTAAGTCGCTCTGGATAAGAGCGTCTGCTAAATGACAAAAAATGTAAAATGTAATAGTCTTCGAGAATCAATAGTACATATCATTCATTTATAAGTCAAAAAATGAATGTAGCGGCTAAGGATTTAACTCAATGAGTAATGTATCATGCATCGATCATATAGATCGATCAATATGGTTTATTTATATTACGTATCAATAATAAACTATGTCAATAATCATATGTTTTACTCATGCAGAATGTGGTATGCAAACTGCCAAGGAAACAACTACACAGAAAGATGTAAATGTACCAAAAGGTAAATTTATATTGACATACCTTTTCATTATTGAATGTTTTTTTTCTAGGTTTTTAGAACTTATTCACCCCACAAGCACAGTCATTCAGGGTTATTAGCATTTATTGAACACCCATAAGACGAAAAGGAACCCAATGTCTATTTTCAGTTGATAAGATTAGTGGATAAATATTTATCTGATTTGATTTGTTCATTTACAGCATGGGGCGAAGTGAAAAGATTCAAAGGTAGGACACATGATCAAAGAACTAACATAATATCATTACATGGCTGTACCTTCATCAAGTTACATCCATATCAGCAAACCATGTGAGTGAATGAATTCACCAAATCTTATTCTCTTTTTTTAGTGGAAATCACTCTGGACCCAAAGTCTGCTCACCCTAACCTAGACGTGTATGCAAGTAAAAGGAAGGTTTTTTATAAGAAGTCAAAAGTAACTGATGTTCCCATGGCTCTTCATGTCTTTAGTGAGGACATATTCCGCTCCGGACAGTTATACTGGGAAGTGAGGGTGAGGGAAGATAATATTTTTAACAAAGAGAAACAGTTATGGTATGTTGGTGTAGCCACATACGAAGCCACTCAGTCAAGGGCTGTTGTCCCCTTAACCCCTGAGAACGGTTTCTGGGTTTTTACATATGAAAAAGGAAAAGGTTATTATGTCCCTGATGACCCTCAAATGCCAGTATCTGGAAATGAAAGTCCTTTCATATTCTTAGACCTACCAGAATCTGGAGAAAAAATTCTTACAACACTGGGAGTGTTCTTAGATTGTGACCGACAGATGCTTTCCTTTTATGATGCTGAATCAAAGGCACATCTCCACAGTTTTTTAACGTTGTGTCGTCTAGCACATTCTTAGCTGTATTCAGCCCTGGGTTCCGTGACAAATTCCTTAACAGTTAAATGACTGGATGACAAAGGTGGAAAGAAATAATAAATAAAATCCCATTGTAACACTCTGAGACACAAACAGGGAAATCAGCTGCATAAACACATTATACTTGAAATTTGAATCTCAACAACGCTGTTGAGTTCTGTATTGACATAAACTAACCAGATATTGAATTAATGTAATTTTCAAAACTCCAGTGCAACACGTCCAGTCGGTGGTCTATTCAGTGCATTGAACAGACTGGACCAGGATGCCAGTAATGAAAAAGACTGACATACCCATACAATTGCGCATCCTCTGACATAGGAGACTGAAGTCTGATTTTCATCAACATTTAGTAAATGAGTAAGCCTTGGGGGTGTGGTTTGATGAAGAGGAGATAGTGGAAGTACAGACACTCAGACTAAGGGAGGGAGTTTATGGGAGAGGGAGGACTAAGTTATTATTCCCACTCTTCTGTTATTGTTTGTAGAATTCAAAGGTGCTATTTCACATTTAGTAAACAGAGGCGTCATGCCCATAGGGGGCACAGGGGCACGTGCTACCTCGGATTTGTCCTGTAAAAAAAATATATGTTTCTCTGTAATACTGCTAGCCACCTAGCAATGAAGTTGGGAACCCAGATAGGTTCCCAATCTAACAACCGCATAGCTAGCTACCAAGAAGCCATTTCAGGCCATCAATCAAGTTAGAGTAGCTAGCTTGTCTAACTACAGTTAAACCTTTAGAACCCATAGTGGCCGTCAACGGCCTTTCTTTAAATTACTATAACGGCCGCGAACGGCCTTCTTTTTAAACAATAATATTGCGGAATTAACTTGCTAACAACCTGTTGTCGTATTCACATGGCTGTTGTCATGAAACAGAAACTGGAAACAGGGTATGCTGTCATTTAGATTTTTAAAATAAAAAATAAATTACTTACTCAAAATGACGGCGCCGACGCGGCCATGACTTTACACTGTGGAAGAGGCTGTATCTATGTTGGTTGGTGATATGGATTCGGACACGCCCTTGCACATTGAAAGCGATTTATGTCGAGGTGAATGAAATTAGTGAACAGCAGATATATGTTTGGGGTTGTTGATGTTTGATGCTGTGAAACTTGGGTAATAGCTCTCAGATTAGCAAATCCTGTCATGATCATTTGGTTGGTACAGGCAAGCACATCAGCGGTGAAGCAGGAGCTTGAATGATTGCTCTCTGTCTCATGGAAATAGTTTCAGTGTTTAGCTGTACATAGTCAGCTAACTAGTTGGTATATAGTCAGCTAACTAGTATTGTTTCTACCGATGTAATTCATATCGAAACGGCCCAAGCTGCTTTCTATAGCTATCTAGCTAGTCTGTCAGGCAAGAAAAGTTGTGTGTGGCGGTAAATTTGGGCTGCGCTTGAGAAGCGTCAACCTCAGCTGTCACATTCACTAGCTAGATATACAGAAAACCAGCTAACTAGCTACCAAAATGGATATTAGAGTAATTTGTGTTTATCTGTTGGGCTTAGGTCATGGTTTGTCATGTTTGCTAGGTACAGATATTCATATGCTATACATTGCCTCGTTTTCCTATTATTTGACAGCTTAGCGGTCATGTTAGGGTAGATGCCCGTGCAGTGGAGCTCATATGATATTGAGTTGCAGTGATATTTGTTTACGTAGCCGGCTAATAAGTTGCTTGTTTTGTCCTGATTCTACCGATGCAATTCATTTGGAAACTGTCCCAGCTTCATAACTAATCAGCTAACATTGGCGAACTCTGTAGTTAGTCTGTCAGGCAAGAAAACAAGAGTTGGAGGCAACATTGTGCTTCGCTCGCTATGCTGTCACTTGATAGTCTCAAAGACAACCAGCTAACTATGCCCATCGAAATAGATGAAGAATTATTCTAAACCTTTTTGGCTAAATTGCACAGTGTCATCTTTGTAATCTTTTATTTTCAACATAAATAAGCAATAGTTGATGTGTTGAATCTATAAACCGTTGTGCCACTTACTTTGAGATGGGGAGAGAGAGATGATATTCCTGACCACAATTGTATCCTATTTGTTGCTCCGCTTCTCTCTCCCTCTCCCTCTGTTAGTCCGTTCCTCTAGGTCAGTGAAAGCGAGGGAAGGGATGTGGAGTGTCAGGGCTCTGATGATAGGAGGAATAGAGATGTGGAGGGAGAGAGGAGAGTGGAGGGAGAGAGAAAGAGGAGACTGTAGAGGAGGGAAAGGAGAGTGGAGGGAGATTAACATGAAGAGGAACATGGAGAGCAGGAAGCAGAGGGAGAGGAGGTGGAGTAGGGAGAGGAGGAAGCAGATGGAGAGGGAGCGCACACCGAAAGTAGAGCCTATGTTTCCATGGGGTGCATCTGCCCCAAGTCCCACCATTCACCCTTGTACCACACAGCCTGGGCCTAATGTGACAGAGGCAGGGGTTTTTAAGTTGTTTTTAAAAGTGTTAGGAGTATTTTTTATATCTGGTGTTTAACACCAACCTGTCCACCACCACATCCAATTCACTGAATTGTTGTCAAAGTAGGCTACTATTTCTACATTTTGTGTCAGACCTTGTCTGTACTAAATCTTTTTGAGAGAGGTTATCTACATTTTGAAATAGTCTCTGAATAAGTAGTAAGAGTCTTTGTCAATACAATAGCCTACATTGTGTGGGTTTTGAAATACTTTCTGAATATTGTCCTCTGGTCACATTTTGGATTATTTTTTAAATATTTGTACAATATAGTATATTTGGTACATTTTGAGGGAGTAATTTAAATACTGTGGGTTTTTTGTTGTGTTGAGTGTTAATCATTTCTTGATAGTGAGTGTCTATACACAATGGAAGATAAAATGAGTGTTATTCCTATTGACATGAATGTGGTGTCATATTAAAGAAGAGGTTGTGCTCTTTAAAACTAAGTTCACTTGTAATTGTCATTTGTTCTTTGTTTTTGAGCAATGTCTGTTTCTTTGAAATGTGTGAGAAAATATTAAAAAAATTACCTTGAAAATTCTCAGTAATCTACAGCAGCATTCTAGAGTTATATTGGGGTCTAAAGAGTTAATAAGAGTCTATAGACGCACCTGTGTGTCAATCTAAGTAACATACTAACAAAAATCCCCATCAAAATCCATGAGTTTAGGCATGGGCTGCGTCTCAATCAACAGCATCCATCTATGTCAGCCTTCTGCATCTGCGGTGGAAGGTGGCCGAGCCGACCATGAGACATCCCGAAAATCGGTTTTCTCAGGAAAACGTCTGTAGCATCCGAACGGTTTGGCCTAAAAAACGAATATGACCCCACTATGGAAAGGGGAGATTCTCACAAACATGATGGTGTTCTCCGTTTTGCTCTACGAATGGAAGTATGGAGGTAGTTTTGTGCCAACAAAGAAAAGGGGTTAAATATGTGTCCAAAAAGCAAATATATTTCTTGAGCTTACTTATATCTCCTAGATATAGGACAGACACTCAAAACCTTATTCCTTATGATTTTTTGTTTGACTGTCTGTTTTTCCATTTATGAATGTGTTATTCAATGTGTTTCTATGGGCTATAGTTGTAATGGCCAAATTCAATATTAGTGGAGAACAATTGGAGGGTTACTTAGTAGCAATGCAAATATCATGGTACAGCTATATGGAAAAAAAGTATTTAGTCAGCCCAATTGTATGTTCTGTTTCATAATGGTGAGAGAGCCTGTAATTTCATCTAGTTACACGTATTACAGACCAAAGAGGAAAAAAAATCAGGAAATCCATTGTAGGATTCTAATGAATTTCTTTGAAAATATGGGGAAAAAAGTATTTGGCAATTGCAAGTTCTCCCACTTTGTGAAACCCTTTGTTTCAAGACACAGTTCAAACGTTTCTGTAAGTCTTCATAAGTTTTCAAAATGTTGTGGTATTTGCCCCTTCCTCCACAGATCTTCTCTAAGAGGATGTTTGGGGCTGCGTGGTACAAGACTTTCAACTCCCTCCAAAGATTTTCTATGGGGTTGAGATCTGGAGACTGGCTAGGCCACTCCAGGACCTTGAAATGCTTCTTACGAAGCCACTCCTTCGTTGCCCGGGCGGTGTGTTTGGGATCATTGTCATGCTGAAAGACCCAGCCACGTGTCATCTTCAATGCCCTTGCTGATGGAAGGAGGTTTTCACTCAAAATCTCACGATACATGGCCCCATTCATTCTTTCCTTTACACGGATCAGTCATCCTGGTCCCTTTGCAGAAAAACAGCCCCAAAGCATGATGTTTCCACCCCCATACTTCACAGTAGGTATGGTGTTCTTTGGATGCAACTCAGCATTCTTTGTCCTCCAAACACGACGAGTTGAGTTTTTACCAAAAAGTTATATTTTGGTTTCATCTGACCATATGACATTCTCCAAATCCTCTTCTGGATCATCCAAATGCACTCTAGCAAACTTCAGACGGGCCTGGACATGTACTGGCTTAAGCAGGGGGACACGTCTGGCACTGCAGGATTTGAGTCCCTGGCGACGTAGTGTGTTACTGATGGTAGGCTTTGTTACTTTGGTCCCAGCTCTCTGCAGGTCATTCACTAGGTCCCCCTGTGTGGTTCTGGGATTTTTGCTCACCGTTCTTGTGATCATTTTGACCCCACGGGGTGAGATCTTGCGTGGAGCCCCAGATCGAGGGAGATTATCAGTGGTCTTGTATGTCTTCCATTTCCTAATAATTGCTCCCACAGTTGATTTCTTCAAACCAAGCTGCTTACCTATTGCATATTCAGTCTTCCCAGCCTGGTGCAGGTCTACAATTTTGTTTCTGGTGTCCTTTGACAGCTCTTTGGTCTTGGCCATAGTGGAGTTTGGAGTGTGACTGTTTGAGGTTGTGGACAGGTGTCTTCTATACTGATAACAAGTTCAAACAGGTGCCATTAATACAGGTAACGAGTGGAGGACAGAGGAGCCTCTTAAAGAAGAAGTTACAGGTCTGTGAGAGCCAGAAATCTTGCTT